GTCCTCTCTCAGTGAGAGTTACTGAGTAGAATGGAATCTTCACAACTTCTAGGAGGTACCAGACAGATGCTCAGAAAGGGGTTACCGTGGCCATTACTGGCACTTCAGACAAGGGCAGGCTTCAAACAGGGAGGTCTGTGGCAACCCCTACCCTACGCCTGGAACTGAGGGGACGGGGGAGCTGAGAACAAAGAGAGGAAGGAACAGTGGCTGGGAAACAGGCAGAGAGCATGGTCTTCTTGTCACATCTTCCTCAACGGTTGGGGGGGTAGACAGTCGGCAGTGGCCCATCTTGCCAGGTCCCACTGCCCTCAGAAGAGGCCAGAGTACTTCAGGTTGTTCTTGGTGATGACGTCGGGGACGACATTGTACGCTAACCATGTTCTTGGTGTCGGTGGCATACATGACGTGTGTGTAAATTTCCTTGGTGTCTTTGAGCTTATTCAGGTCCTCAACCTTACTCTGGATGTAGCTGGCTGCCTCATCATATTTGTTGGTCCCTGTGTGTAAGGCCGGCTGCCTCGCAGAGGGTTAAACGGACACATCCATCTCTCTCTGTGCCTGATAACTGCGTCATCACCCAAGCTCGTTATCTGGCCTCACCGCATGGCTTCCCCGCACCCACCTCCGCATACGAGACCCAAGCTCACATTCAGCACTAAATTATGCATCCAGCCCCAGCCCGCTGTTGAAAAACCCTGCAGAAAAATTTTTAAAGAAGCCCCATCAGACCCTGCCCTGTAGCAGTCTGCTCTGTATGCCCTGGAAGGCCCACTTACCCAAGGTCCCACCCACCTACCCATGGCAACTAGCTCCAGGTATTTCCCGCTTCTTAATAGTCAATAAGATTGCCTTCACTTTGTTTCCCCAACAGCCAATCAAGGCCCACTTACCCAAAGTCCCGCCCGCCTACCAATGGCAACTAGTTCCAGATATTTCCTGCTTCCTGACAGCCAATAAAATTGCTTTCACGTTGTTTCCCCAATAGCCAATCAATCGCCTTTCCTCCCCATAAAACCCCATGACCTGAACAGCCGGGTGCGACTTCTCTGGCCCCTTCCTGGACCACAGAACCTTGCCCGGGAGCTGAATAAATTAGCTTCTCATTTTCTTATACTTGCCTCAGTTTCCTCATTTTACCTCAGCAATAAATCTTACACTGTGTACTCAGGGAAGCAGATGGTTGAGGCTGTGTGTGATCTTATCCTCGAACAGGTCCTTCTTGTTGAGGAAGTGGATGATGGACGTATCTGTGAACCACTAGTTGCAGATGCTATCAAATAGCTTTTACCCCTACAAAAAGATACACTGGCCAGGTGTAATCCCAGCACTTTGGGAACCCGAGGAGGGTGTATCACAAGGTCAGGAGTTGAAGACCAGCCTGGCCAAGATGGTGAAACCCCATCTCTACTAAAAATACAAAAATTAGCCAGGCATGGTGGTGGGTGCCTGAAATCCCAGGTACTGGGGAGGCTGAGGCAGAGAATTGCTTAAACCAGGGAGGCGAGGTTGCAGTGAGCCAAGATTGCACCACTGCATTCCAGCCTTGGTGACAGAGTGAGACTCTGTCTCAAAAATAAAAAGCAAAAAGAAAAAGAATCCTTGCTGGGCAAGGTGGCTCACGCCTGTAATCTCATCACTTTAGGAGGCTGAGGTGGGTGGATCACTTGAGGTCAGGAGTTTGGGACCAGCTTGGTCAACATAGAGAAACCCTGCCTCTATTAAAAATATGAAAATTAGCTGGGCCTGGTGTTGGGTGCCTGTAATCCCAGCTACTTGAAAGGCTGATGCAGGAGAATCGCTTCAACCTGGGAGGCAGAGGTTGCAGGGAGCTGGGATCATGCCACTACACTCCAGCCTGGGTGACAGATCAAGACTCCATCTAAAAAAAAGAAAAAAAAAAAAAAAAAAAAAACAGTATCCTACCCCTGGCAAGAAACTCATCTAAATAGAGGTTTAAATGCCACAGAATTTCAAGTAGGCAATTTGCATTTCTGAGAATCTTCAGATGGGAGAGAGAGAGAGAGACAGAAAGAGGTCACGAATTCACTGGATTTCAGCCCAACACAGGAGTGATGTCCCAGCTAACTGCAGCCTCGACTTCTGGGCTCAAGTGATCCTCTCACCTCAGCCTCCAGAGTAGCTGGGACTATATCATTCACCACCACACTTGGCTATTTTTTCTATTTTACTTTTTTTTTTTTTTTTTGAGACAGAGTCTCACTCTGTTGCCCAGAGTGGAGTGGAGTGGCACTATCGTGGCTCACTGTAACCTTCACCTCCGTGATTCAAGCAATTCTTCTGCCTCAGATTCCCGAGTAGCTGTGATTACAGGTGACTACCTGTAATCACCTTCCACCCAGCCTGGCTAATTTTTGTATCTTTAGTAGAGACAAAGTTTTGCCGTGTTGACGAGGCTGGTCTCGAACTCCTGACCTCAAATGATGCACCTGCCTGGGCCTCCCAAAGTGCTGGGATTACACTCACAAGCCACTGCGCCCAGCCTATTTTATTTTATTTTTCACAGAGACAGGGTCTCTCTGTGTTGCTGTGGCTGCTCTTAAACTCCTGGCTTCAAACGACCCTCCTACTTCTCCCTCCCCAGGTGCTGGGATCATAGGCATATGCTACTGCGCTCTGCCTGGAGCATTTCTTTGCCTAGGCAAATTAGCTGTTCTAAAGGCTAGGCTAGGTGTTGGAGGACTTTTGAGACACAGCTTTGCTGTGTATTTATTGAAAGGTTTTGATTGACTAATGGTTGTGAGACTGGTAGGATTTCCCTGACTACAAAATTCTGTGACTTTCACTTCTTTTAACTGGTACAGTTTAACTGGTAATCAGTAGTTGAGAGACTGAATATTGAGGTCAGAAGAACTCAAAAGCTCTGAAGCTGTGGTTTTCTCATCTATTTTTTCATCTGTAAAAAGATATCTATAAAGTAACAATCATTATAATAGCAATTATAGAGCAATTACTTTGTGCCAGTTTAGTGTTATGAAATATATGTTTATATATAGTATGTATAAACAACATTGTATATATAAACAGTTATCCTCATAGCAACTCTTTGGAGAAGGTACCATTGTTTCCATTTTATTTTTATTTTTTTATAGGCAGAATCTCTCTCTGTTGCTCAAGCTGAAATATAGTGGCGCAATTATAACTCACTGTGGCTTTGAACTCCTGGGCTCAAGTGAGTGATCTTCCTGCCTCAGCCTTCAGAGTAGCTCAAACTGCAGGTGTGTACCATTGCTTCCAGCGAATTTTTAAATTTTTAATAGAAATGAACTCTTGCTGTGTTGCCCAGGCTGGTTTTGAACTTCTCAGCTCAAGGGATCCTCTTGCCTCTGCCTCCCAAAGTGCTAGGATTATAGGTGTGAGCCACTGTTCCTGGCCCATTGTTCCCATTTTCTGCTGGGGTCAAGGAGACACAGAGAAGTTAGGTAACTTGCCAAGGTCGCACAGCTAGTAGAAGGCAAAACACAAACACAAACCCAGGATATTTGAGTCTGTGCTTTAAAAATCCTTGTGCTAATTGCCTGACACAAGGTAAGTGTTGATAAATCTTAGTTTCTTTTTATAACCTCCCTTGAACTTTCATGAAAAATGGCTATTACTTCCTCAAAGTATCTTAATAAAAAATTTGAATCTTCCAAGTCCCCCGCTTTTTCAAATGAGGAAACGTAACTCCAAAGAGCCTGAACCATGTGTTCAAGATAGGACTGGATCCTAGCTCTCCTGCCTCATCTGGGAAGGAATAATCGTTCTCCATATTATTGTGTTCCAACTACTTCTTTTTAAGTATGGTTTTGTTGTTGTTTTTGTACCATTTTTGAAAAGAAAGGAAAAGAATTTCCTTTCTGAATCGCGCTCTTGTCTCCAACATATTTTCTGCAATTAAATAACCCTTGCCACAGTAACAGACCTAACTAGATGGAACGTTCTGCTTCTCTACCATAATGTGCAAAGGGAGTGAGCAAGAGTTTATCATTGCCAAAGTGAGGAGATGAAGACGGGTTAGCACGCATATTTTTCTCTCTTTTCCATCTTCATTCCTTCCATCCTTGTTTCTGGCTCTTGCTTTCTCTCCCCTTACCTGGATTAAGGAGTATGGGGCTATTGCTCATATCACCCTAATAAAAATTCAGAGATAGGCTAATAAAGTATACTACCCAGAAATACGGTAATAAGCTAGGGTGTCAGTAGCTGCCGCCTAGTCGTTTTTTTTTTTTTTTTTTTTTTTTTTTTTTTGAGATAGGGCCTCTCGCTCTTTCACTCAGGCTGTAGGGTAGTGGCGTGATTAAGGCTCACTAAAGCCTCGACCTCCTGGGCTCAAGCAAATCTTCTACCTTAGCCCCCCTAGTAGCTGACTACAGGCACATGCCACCATGCCCAGCTAATTTTTGATTTTCAGTAGAGATGGGATCTCAATATGTTGCCCAGGCTGATCTAAAACTCCTGGGCTCAAGTGATCCTCCTGCCTCAGCCTCCTAAAGTGTTAGATTACAGGTGTGCCCAGCTTCACTGCCTAGTCTTTTCTTGATCCTGAATGAAAACAGAGAAAGCCCCAAATTCCTGTCTTTATTGTGTCATTATCTCAATACATGCCTTTGCATAATTTAGTTAAACTGTACTAGGCACCCATAATTTTCTCACCTTTGTGTGAAATACTATCTTTCCTATTATCCTTTGTCATAGAATTTTGGCTTGGCCGTGAAAAAGTACAGTGACAGTGACAGCGTTCAAGAGATCATGGTGTTTTGCTTTATTTTGTTTGGCTTAAATAAAGAAAAATTCTCAGAAGTATCACATATATGTCTGTAGTTGCAAAAGTACAACATAGCTTTACAGTCTTTAAATAGCACTATTCTCAAAGGCCTCATGATTTTGGAATCTATAGCTAAATAATATATTTGATAATCCTGACACATCTATTGCACAAATATGAAAGGAAAAGATTACCACAGTAAAAAACTACGGTTTTCGAAAGACAAGAAAGCGTGCTTGCTTCAGCAGCACATATACTAAAATTGGAGCCATACAGAGATGGTTAGCATGGTCCCTCTGCAGGGATGACATGTACATTTGTGAAGCATTCCATATTTAAAAAAAAGAGAGAGAGG